ACAGTAAGTTATACATACAAACATGCCCAGAGAACCACCTTCTCTAGAATCTCCCCTCTGTCTCACTTTATTTTAGATACGTAAATCTCTTCCTGAACAGAATAATACAATTTTTTTTTTTTTTTTAAAATCTCTTTCACTCTAACATCTCTGCAGTTTAAGACTCACTGACACCTTCTATTTCATCAGTACATGTTAACTCTGCCCTTTGAATGTAAATCAAAACTGGGGAGTTCAAAGGTGTGTCAAACATTAAGTATTTATACCACTTTTGTTCCATCTAAAAGACTTTTGCTATAAGCCAATCTCTTTCATATGTAAAAGGGCACAGTTCATTTAAATATTCTAAAGCTGTAGAAGGGCAATACAAGAAAAATCTGAGAAATTCTTAGTCAACAAGTACTTAAAATTATAATAAAAACACTCCAGGAATTTGGCTCATGTTACAAAGCCAATTTATATGACTATAGCAATGAGCAAGTTTCTGATTTCAGAATGCTGAAAGCAACTATCTAACACAATTCTAGAGAGAAGGGAGGGAGAGAATAATAACAATAACAATAATAATAATGCTGCATTTCTCTGATGAGTTTGATTTCCAACATTAGTTTTTCAACCTGTAGTTTTATTAACATTAAACAATCTTTTGAAGAAATGCTCAAGGATGTAAGTGGAATCTTAAATGAACTCCTCAGTATGGTTTCTGTGCACTCAAAACATCTCATAGGTAACAGCTCCCTCCAGGAAAATATAACCTATTACAAATAGAAATTGCTTTTATCAAGTTCTAAAGGAAATAAGTCTCTGCCTGCTTTTATCCTTAAGCAAATAACACGAACTACAGAAGGGTTATTAGTGCACAACAGAGCGTGGAAATCCTCTCTATTGATAACACCAATGCACACTGAGCAGTGTATGGAGGATCTCCATTTTTAGACATCTCTGCAAAGGAAGGCCTTTGCTGAACAGTCCTGTAGAATCTAAATAATGCACATGTTGAGGAGGAATGGGCAAAGACACCATAATACCCTGACACACTGTACTCCACATGTTGCATCTTCTAACTTGCCACTGACACAAGATAGAGCACAATTTTAGGTCTCCTTCAAGTGGACAGCCCACAGTGTATACCAAGCACTTCAAAACCCAGAAGTTCAGTACCAAAATTTTCTTTCTTTAATATCGATCTGTATTAATCTCTTGTTCATAATGAAATGCCCCAGCAGCTAGCAGAGCCAGCAAAGCCTCCCTCCTCTCACACATGGCTTTCAGGAATGCTGCTGTGCTGAAAAGGCAAAATGACTGTTGCCCAAAAACATGCAATCCAACAACAAAACCCCACTCCAAATGGCTTGACAGGAGATCAACTGTATGGACCTTTACATATTTACATCAACTCCAAGGTCAGACTTACAAACTGACACAACCCTATTCAAAGAAATTGAAACTACTTCTCCTGTCCCATGTTCTGTACTGGCTTGAGTCTTGCTGTAAAGAAACTTGCTGCTGAATATTTTTTAACTGACAGAAATTAACAGCTTGGCCAAAAAATATATCTAAAAAGTCACTTCGCACCTTTCAGCTACCTTCAGGATAAGAAAATCATGGAAAAAAAATAACCCAAATATTACAAGAAACTGAAAGATAATCCACACGGAATTATTTTCGTATTACTAGAAGTATGAGTGTAAATGTATTTGCTGTTATAATTTGCCTCATTTTAGGCACTTTCCTAAATTTGGACTTGTGTTGAGAGGGTTTAAGCAGACTTAAGTCTTGCATCAGAAGAGATTCAAGGTAAACAAAGTTACACTGATTTAGAATCTCAGTTGAATGTGATCTATTCAAAACACTTCTACTTTCATCTAAGAATTGAAAAGGTTCTTTTTAACAGTAAAATAATCTGATCTAAGGGCAGTTGTTACTAGAACAACCTGTTGAGCTTTCTGCCACTGCTTCCAGCCTCACACTTCTGCACCAGCTCCTGCACACACATAAGCTCCCAGTGAGAACCCTCAGGGAGCCAGTTCTGCAGAAACCAAGCTCTGCAGGAGAAGAGTGAATACCTTCTGTGCATTTAATTCTCCGAACGAGCTCCGAATGAGTCAGGTGAGTGTCACCTGCAGTCCATTAAAGTGGGTGGCAATGCCTAGTGGTGGCAAAGAGGAGAATGAGACTGTCTCCTTGTGATAGGGATAATCCATTGGCTCAGCCCAAGGGCAGGACCTGTACTGCAACTCTGCAAGTTCACATTGTTCACTGGTTTTATTACCCTGTCACACTTTTGCTGACTACTGCTGATCTCAAAAATAACTTAAAACTAATAATTTTAAGGTATCTAAAAATATGACTCCACTGAGAACCAGCCTTATTTTAAAAAGCACATTTGATACTATATCTTCTTTAAAAACCTCTCTGATTTAAGACAGTACCAAATTAAGATTTAACCAATGTGCTCCAAATACCTACAAGTACTCTCATAAATACCTAACCTCCATGTTTCTGTTTTTCCCTTGCACCATTTGTTGAATAAATTCTGAAGGTCATTTCCATGGTTCAGGAGAATTTGACTAATATTATGATAAATATTCTTGGGGAAATGGATTTAAAAAAAAAAAAGAAAAGCAATGAAACAAGCACAACATGACTTTTATGGATGTCACCATCTTTGGTCAACATCCAAATGCACGCTAAAAATAGTAAGAACAGAGTTATATTAAACCAGGAAGGTACAAGGTGTCTCGATGCAAAATTTGGCTTACCTAAAATAAAAAAATTCACCGGATTTATGTTAAAACAGCTAAGAGAAAAACACCAGACAAGTTGCTCCTCATAAGACACTGAAGAGTTGGTATTTACTTATTATGCAAAAAGCTGATCCCAGTGAAACTGTGCCTGAGATACAGTCCTCAGAAGTAAAAATAACAAGTATAAGCATATGAATAGAAATTAGAGACAAATAAACTTTTTGGTTAACTGGGAATTTAAATTGGTTACTAAATAACAAATTGGTTAGGAAGTCCTAACTTCAAAAGCAGACAGAACACGTCCAAAATAACAACACGTTTCTCTTACTGTATTCAAGACACAAAATAACTATTTGAAATACCTGAATTCTTCAGAAATCTTCAGAAAGTAAAGTAAAATTTAAAATTCTTTCCTTTCACACACAGAGGTATCTCAGAATCTATTAGCTTAAATTCACATACCAAGAACACATTAGGACTTGACAAATTTCTGTTCTTCTCCCTTCTCAATTATGCCAATATCAGACAAGTACTATCATTCCAGAGCCATGAAAAAGAGTAGTCTTTTTTTCATAACAGCAACCATCCCTTCTCAAAATTCCATGAGAAAAGAAGAGACATTAGGCACCAGCTTTGTTACAACTCATCAACAACACGTAAGACCTGTAAGGTAGCAGCACTGGTCACAAAAAACACTTAGTGCCACAGGCTGAAAATAGCAACATCACCAAGAAAATTCTCTAGGGTATTTGTTATTATTATCTTAGATATGATCTTCTATTTCCTATCAAGATGTCAAGCTCATGTATGGCATTTTAGAGCGTGTGTGTGTATATAGATATACATAAAATAGTTTCATGAACACATATGCTTCCCTTAAACACAGCTGAATATAGACTTTTCAGGTGTTCCTTCTCAAGTTCTACCTAATTACAACTCAGTCTGCTAAAGCAACAGCTGTCTCCTTAGGAAAGTAATAATTTTAGGATGAAAATCAAGGTTGTACTTCCTGCTTTTGCTCATGGCTTCTATTCTGAAGGTGAAAACAAAACAAAAAACCCACAAATACAGTAATATCTGGGATTTAACAGAAAAATTGAGAATAAATACCAAAGAATGAGGTAAAAAAAAAAAATCCATACCAAAAAAAAAATCCATACCAAAACCTGAAACCCCACTTATGGCCACTGTTATTGGGTATTAGGATGGAAATTAAATAACATTTATTTTAGGATATGTCTATGACTTCTATTCCAGGCCTACCTTAGTTTATTTATATCTTTTCGGAAAACATTCTCTCTACTTCCAAAAATGAATCCAAGCCCCTATTTACTGTTAAAGACTCAAAACCAATCTATGCCTCACAAAACTTAAAGTTACTGCAAATTTCTCAATATTCATCCCTACTTTGACATATTGGGGCAACTATGAAAAGTAACCAAAAAAAAGCCATGGCTTTATACACAGATTACACTACATTTCCTACCGTACTTACTACTGATGTTACAATAGCATAACTATTGAAACAAATCTGGCATATATTGTTTGTCTCATGCCAGATATTCTAGTTACAATGCAAGTGGCAGCAAGCACCATACCCATACTGTTCATCTTTTGGTAACCCTTGGTAGTACTTCACTTAAGCGTGACAAGTGGTGGGAAACTTTAAGGGGAAAAGGGTAACTAAGACAAGGCAACTGGCTGCCCTTGTAATCTGCAGTCAACTTAAAGAGCCACTTCAGGTCATGAGAAATTTCAAGATGACAATTCTTTCATAGTTCTCTTCCCACGGTCAGAAAAAAAATACCACATGGAAAAGAAATACTCCATAAAAAAAACAAACAAACCAAAAAAAAACCCACAACACCACTCTTTCACTGGCTTTTATGGTAACTTGTGCTTAAACCAAGCAACGTATCAATCACTTTCCTACTTAAATGCTTTTTCAAAACCATGCAGAACTCCTAAGAATGTTCGACTGACATACATCAGCTGGCCCACGTACTGTTTTCGGATACTGGTATCTGCAATCCTTCTACCGGATCTAGCATCATTGTCTGAGCTCAGATGACTCAGATAAAAACAATGTGAAAACACAGTTTGTTTTCATGTTTAAAGTCTCCATTGGTCTCCTGCAACAATAACAGGAAGAGCTGTACGGATCGATATGCAAGATTACTAATAGGAACCTTTCTTCTACCCAAAAACAGGCACGTGAAACTCTCTTAAGCAGGTAACAGACGCAACACTTACCAGATCTCTGTGAAGCACCCAGTTTGCATGGAGGTAATGGATCCCATCGAGGATCTGGTAGAGTAGGGATTTAACCATAGATCTTGGCAACTGCATGGGCTTTTTATTTGCTTTTGAGGCACGGTGAAACTTGATAATATGCTAGAAATAAAACAAGTAGAAACATGAAGTACGTTAGGTAAGTAGCAAGGTCTTCTGTTGTTTTTCTTAAAAACTATTAACACTAATGGAATGAAATACATAACTGTTGAACTTTGCAATTAGAAGTAATAGTGATATGCTCACAATTTTCTTAAATAGTTTTTATTCTCCCAGTTGCTTTAAAAAACAGCTGTCAAGCTTTTGTTAATATCTAAAGTCCTGCTACTTACCTCCAGCAAAGGGTCTCTGACATTCTCCTCCCTCCCTCCTCCCCATTTGGGATCCTCTTATCCTCCACTGCTAGAGCAGAAGCTTCCAAGCCAGCAGTATCTACCAGAAAGAGGACTACACTCTGTGCCTTCACAACTTCCCTCTTCCTCTCCAAAAACACCCAGGACAGAGTGCTTGCAACTATTTTACTGTTCCCCCTAAATCTCAATCCCAGTGGAAAGGCAGTAAATAAATATTTAAGGTTGGAGGAAACAACTTCAAAAACTCTACACCACAACATTATGGTGAGATCATGTTCAAACATCTAAAAATGGTTATACTCTTTCTTCCAAGTTTTGGCTGTATACTTCATTGATAATGACAAGCTAGTGGCTCCTGAGTTACAGGAGTCAGTCACCCCACTAGAGGATAAATACCACTCAAAAACATCAAATGCAGGAAGGGACCTCAGCATTAATCAGCTGAAGAAATGAAAAAAACTATCAATAAAAGGTTGCTGAGAGATTCATAAACTAACAGATAAATTAGTTTAGATAGTTTCATAAACTAATTAGTATTTATTGTAAAATCAAAGTGGAGATGATGGGCTAGGTTTGGTTTTGCTACCCCATACAAGAAATAAAGTGGGGTGAGGCCCCTCTGCATTTTCAATTCTCAGACAAGGTGGAGTTATGGAAGGCACAAGCCCAGTCTTAACATATTGCCACTCAAACAACTAAATCCATGCATTCAGATTAAAAAAAAAAAAATATATCCACACCAACAAAACCCTCTTTTTCGAAAGCAATTCAAAGAAGCATCTCAAATAACTAGTTTTCCATTATGTGCTTTTTGAAAGACAGAAATAATAAAGGCAGTTTGCATTTTTACTGAAAGCAATTCAAAATGCTAATCTCTAGAGTGACAAGACTGCTAATTACCCAATTCTTTAAATAGGATTTCTCTAGTTCAAGATCATCCCCCTCCCCAGGTTAAAGAGGGGTAGCCAATGGCTGTGCTTTCATTGGTCCTCTGCTCCCTCTACCATCACCCCCTGCCAAGTTTGTCACCACTGTTCCAAATGAAAATGCTAACAGGTTATTGTTTCCTCGGGGTAAATGCTACCTCTGGCTGTCACCAGCACTTGACCCACTGTCAAACTGTGCTTAGCAAAGGTGTAGACCATACTATTTAAGGAGAAATTAAAAAAAAAGAAAAACGTTCCATACACATCAGAACAGTTTGCTTAATCCCTATGAAAAGCAATGTCCCCACTGAGCCTCCCACTACAAGACATACAACAGTGATGACTGTATATTAAAAAACAGTATAAAAGAAATCTACAGAATTATCAGGTTTTAATATACAGATGAGGGTCTTTAAACAAAAAAGCTCTTCGTACCTGATCTTTTAATTGAGCAATCACTCTGAAAACTGTAATAGAAAGCCTTAAGTGATTGTTTCCTTAGAGAAGTTTTTTCTTGACATGACAAGGAGATTCTATGTTAAAACTTCAACTGGGAGTCCCTGCCTTCCAGTATGACACGATGCTCACCGGATTCAGTTAGGCAAGTAATCTCTAAACCAAAGCTAACATAACTAACTAGATCAATGCAAAGCTAATCTCAGTTACCCAGCCAGACTCACCAGGTGTGGCTCACCACCACACTCATCAAAGCTGGTGCACACTCCAGAAGATGGCAGAACTTGCTCTTATCAGCCTCCGAAATGCCATTAAGACACATCCTAAATCATTTTGCTCTGATGTTAGGTTGTCCCAATCAGAAAGACTAAGAAAGCAAGCTCCTTTCTTAGAGTTATTGTATTGCAAAATTGAATTAAAATGGATAGGTTTGCTTTAAGCAAGCAATAATTTCACCATTATATAAAATTCACTTTCCTACAAAAGCAAATAAGAATTACTGTTGCCAGCTTACATTATAGAAGTTTATATTCGTCAAACCACAAACTTCACCCCATCACAGTTCAGGGAACTGAGCAGAAATTAAACTAAAAAAAAAAAATATCGCAGGGTCAAACACTACGGGGAACTGAAAAGCTGAATTTGCCCCATGCCACTGGAAGCAATACACAGTGCTTGTGACCAAGTCCTAGTCTCCAGAGTTTTGTGAAAAATGTACTTCATCCGATTTCTTGTATGTAACTAGCCATATGAAGAAAGGCCAACACACATAACAACACTAAACAGTAATTTTAATGGCAGTGTAAATCTAAGGAAGAAACAGAAGAGCAAATGGTTGCCATTGCTGAACAGCATCTCTTCTACTGGAAGCAGTGAGTCCAAGCTTTTTGTTATTTCTTTATATTTTCAGAGGTAGGTCTATATGGCACTACCACTGCTCTGGGAAAATAGTCCTCAAATAAAATAAACAGCATCAAAACAGAAATAAATGAATGGTCATAACAATTTGACAAAAGTTGTGGAGATGAGGCAGATCAGGGGTACAGCAAGATCCAAAGCAAAGAATGCCATACCAGTACAATTATTCTAAAGGAATTTTTTAACTTGGACAACTCTACTGACTTTAACTATGGCTGATAGATGTGCTCTTTCCATGTCTGAACATTCACAATTTAATAGTTTAAATCCAAGACCTCTGGAGTAGAAATGGGTGCAGGTACCAGCACAAACTAGGATGTTCTTTACACATAACTGCACTACACAAGGGGCATTCTCTACTAGCATCACTTCCTGAATAGTCCCAAAAGTGCAGCCTCAAGTATAGCATGTAACACCCATAACCTTAGACTTAAGTATGGAAGCTGTGGAATAATTTACAGCAATTATAGGAACTATAATCTGCACTCCCCATTCCCCAGATGATTGCCCTAACTACTAGGCTTCAAAACTGCACTCCTCCTTTCTCTCATTCAGTAAATCTTTTTGCAGACTAGCACAGGATCAGGACTGTTCCGTGAGCTGGGAGCACAGATTTGAGTCCTGACAGGTATGAAGGCCATTCTGCATCTCTCTCTCCACAAACCAGAAAGTGTGCTTGGACACTGCAGCTTCTAACCTTTAGGTATAATTCAAGTTCTTTGCTGAATCTTACCCCTACCTAATGGATAACCACTAAGGACAACACACGAGAACTAGCACAATTCAGTCAAGTCAAAGAGGCATGTTTGTAGCAAGACAACTAGCAGAGGGTAGCAGAGGGTCAAACGTCTTCAGCGTTTTCAATGTCTTTTTTCACCATCACGCACTAAAGATAATTTAATTCCCATATTCTGAGAGACCACCTGGCTACAGAAGCTGGAAAATACCCAAACACATTCAACAGAAGTTTAGGGAAGTTGTGTCAGTGTACACTATGAGTCATAAGCTAAAGAACAGAAACCCGTCCACAACGTTTTCCAGCCATAATTCCCTTTGAATAAGTTCACTGGGACACCCATGTGCAAGCTCTCCTTCTGAAACATCTAAAGTGCTCCATGACAAAAGAAGTATGCATGCCACAAGAGGTAAATGAAACTCCAAGTAATATTCAGATCTATTCTGCAAAAAGTAGCCAAGTCATTTTTCCTTTCTGTGCAACTGTATTTTCAGATTCCCAAATCTTAAAAACATGCTGTCACCAATTGGATTCCAAAAATGTTGTGAAGCCAGTAAAGTATTAACTTTTGATAATAAACAATGTAAAAATGTTTCTATTGCTTTTACATGTTTTGTTTTGAATTTAAACAAGGCATCAAATTTGTGACAATGGCTTTAAGTCCATATTCCAAATTAAACTACTACTTCACTAACAAACATTAGACAACACATTTATTAACATTCTAGATAAGTAAAGAATTATAATTTGCTGTTTTCAATCTCAAACTATTGCTTTTATTTACTAACTGCTTATTCAAAATTTTCAGCATAAAAAAACAAAATTGAAAGGAAAATGGGTTAAATATTTCAGTAAAACCATTTTAGCTTATGCAAAGACAAGACTATAAAAAAAGATAATAAAGTGAAACAGAGCTAAGCATTTGGAAAGAAAATACAGTGGCGACTCATGAAACAATATTTAATCCAGTATGTTGCCTGCCTTCTGTGCTACCTAGTGTGTTAAAACTGGTTTGGATATTGGCTGATGAGGAATCATTTACATGTTCTAAAACCTCCACCATTAAAGGAAACATAATGCATTACAATATAGAGCAAACTAATTAAGTTTGTTTCATGAAAACACCCGGTATTTAGCCAGCAGTTAAATGAGCATTGTTAAAGATTCTCGTTTTAACCTGCTTCTAAGGAAGTCAAGGTGATACAAACATAATTCTCTCCATGTTTATGTTATACCATGCCCAGCTCTGAGAATTGCTGTTAAGTATGACAATTTAAAACAAACAAGTCAGACCTGGTAGGTTTTCATGGAGGTAAGACAACAGCTGAAGGACAGATTTTATGCACATCTGACTAAATGAAGTCAACAGTGTGAGCTCCCACCTCAGACCTGAGATGATCCATAGACCTCAAGACACAATTCCCTATAAAATCTGCCTACTTGAGTTGTACTGCTAAAGGCAATGCTTTTTTTCAAAATAACATGCATCTCCATCAAACTGAAACACAACTGCATCACCACAGATGCCTCTCCCTGTGTCTGTCTGCTCCCATACTTCAGCAAAATAACCTCTTTCTAACCAATCCCTAAATCCAACCTTTGAGACTAAATCAGAATTGCATGAATAAGACAGGAAAAAGTACAATTACACATTAATATTAAGAGATGGAAGCTTGGATACACATTAAATCTCTACCAAGGTCAAGATGAACATCCAGGTTATATGGCTTTAAGTCTCATTTTAAACATCAAATGATCTCCATCTTCTCTCTTCAGCAAACAATAACCAAACGCAACTAACTGTTAAGTGTTAAATATAAAGCACTTAAAAGGCTATGGAAGAATAAATCAAAATCTAAAGGTGATATAAAAACTAATTGTGCATTGTTTGAATAATTTTTGAAAAAGGAAGCAAAAATAGACTTAACTAACCTGAGCAACACTTCTTTACTGTTAAATTAACCACAACTTCATATGCCTCCACTTAGGACTCATTTCAGAAACCAAAGTTTTAGACACTAAAAAAATTTTGGCAAGGGTATATCACAAGTAAAATGAAATTAAACTAAAAGTCAGTAAAAGAACTTCTACAGCCATCACTGAAGTTTCCACTTTTGGAATTATTACAGCAATCAGCATAACAGTCCTTCAAATGAGGAAAGTAAAAAAAAAAAGCCTCAACATCCTCCCTTAAAATGATGCCAGTACACAGCCATCATCAAGTATCTTTATAACGTCACTAACCAAACTGCCTAAGGAAAGAAACCATTTCCAAATGACAAGAGGGCAACATCTTAAGTAACAGTGAAAGGAGCTCTAATACAGTAACTTTTGCTAATGCCAACTTGCTTTAAACACAACCTTTGAAGCACAGAGTAGACAGATTGAATATAATTTCCCTAGGTTTTGCTGGGGTCCTTCTAGGTCTTTTACATGTATCAGCCCTAAGTACATTCTCACAATTTCTTTAGCATATAAGAATATTATTCATAGAGTTGCTAGCTGAAATTAGGTATATTTTTTTGTATATTGAGAGTCAGCTAGTGTTAGGAAATTCACATGTAAGAAGAATATTTTCTCCTTTCCATTAGTTGAGGATTATTTTTAGGTACACATGACTATGCTTATGATCTCTATCCTACATTTTTTAAAAGCACAAAATATACGTAACAAGTATTTCATAAAATACAAAGCCAGTTTGTCCATATCTTTTTATTATTAACAACAATAATTTCAAGATTCATTTTACTCCATGTTTCTTAGTGGTATTTGCTGCTAAGCAGTTTGTTGTTAGAGTCCACAGGAAACTAAAAATAACAGAGAAACATTCAATCAAACTTTTAAAATACCCAGATCATGGTTTAACTTGTCTCGGATAGTGAATGTATCATCACATTCAATATTATAAAATCATAGCTAATAATTTAATCACTTAAAAAACACTGTTAGTTCTTAATATGGCTATGAAACATATTCAACACATTTTACTGTGACAAAAATGTCACTGCGAGAAAATGTCACTGCTTGAAGTACAATTAAGTAATCATCATGCATTTAACATTTAATAGAAATTTTAATGTCTTAAACTGCATAAGCTTTACACAGGAAGTTCTGGACAGCAGCATAAAACTTAAGGCTAAGGTAAAAGAAGAACATACATGGAAGTTGAATAGGAAAATAAGTTATTCCTTAGGGATAAACCAATGAAAACTCATGCGTTTAAAACAACCTTTTTTTAAAAAATAAAGGCAAAAAATTAACATAGCAGAAAAATAAAAAAATACACATATGAATTGAAGAAATTATACCTGTTCTTGGAAGGATTTCATGCATTCACAATTTTGTAAGATTATGAAGTTCTAATTGTGTACTGGAAAAGGTAACTTAAAAAAAGTACCAATTCTACTTGTGGACTTAAGATGAACTCAGCTATGTGTTAACTGAACTACATTTCTTTTTCTTTACCTCAACGTAAATTACTCCGGACAGAAAACCTGGATACAATTTGGATTAGAAGCATTCAAAGACCTTACAAGCAGATACTGAAAAAGGAATGTCCCTCCCAAGAGAAGGAACAGGGGACAGATGGTTCTGTGCCTGTGAACGTCTGAAGCTGAAAGTTTCATACAATTGGACTATAAAGGTGTGAGACTGAAGTAAGTTACCAGGAATTAAGAAAGGATGTCACCTATAATGTGTGTGATATTCAGTGGTGTCTGTGAACACAGACATTTTTAACCTTGCATCAGATGCTCCCTTTACACAAGCTAAGGAATTTCACATTTACTTCATAGCATGAGCATATATAAGCAGTGATGACAGTGTAGACAATACACCATAGATTAACATACATGGCACATCCAACAGCCTAAGAACTCTACCAGTTTACAGAGGCTAATAGCCAAGAAAAATTGTATGGAAATCACACATGGATTATACTAAGGATTTTGGTACTTAAAGCGAACAAAAGTTATAAATAGTTGGTTAAAAAAATTGTTATGTTCTTAGGTATTCTTTATTGTAATCTCACTAATGGCTTCACATTGTTTTGTATTATGTAACTTGAGAGGTGGTGAAGGAAAAATCTTTGCTAGGCTTAGTTATTAAATTATTAATGTTTGCAGGAAAGGAAAACTGAAGTCTTCATTGGTACCTGTCAAAGTAGTTCAAATTAGCATGGCTTTCTTCAACCCTTGATAATAGTACCAACAAAAGTTACGGCACATTATAAACTATGCTGCTATCTAGTCTCAAATTTCAGATTTGAGCAGTCCACTCTTTGGAATTAAATGTAAAGTGAAAAGAAAGTTCTTGCTCACCACAAAAGAACTTTAATAAGTAAACTGGCAACATCACTTTTCCTAATTAGAACAGGACAATCTTTTTTTCAGCATTACAAAACGAACAGAATAAGATAGCATCTTATACAGTTTATTCATCTCTTGCCAAGTGTTTCCAGTACAGAAGCTGAAAAATGTAATGATTTTAATTAATCTGATGTTTGTGAGTGACGCGCGTTTACTCTCCTAATTGAATCCAATAGGAGTTACTAAAGCCGAGCAGATTTGAACAGGACCATTCCCATACTTGCACACAAAATTTGGTAACTACAAGCTACCTATGTTTGAAAACATTGGTCTCTGAGAATCTACAACTCTCTAGTGCCAGCACAATTCCAAAACTTAAATCCTTCTAAAGTGACACCCACAATGAATAGCCTTATTTTGGTTTTATGTGGTGCCAGAGGAGCACGTGGTGCTAAGCAATAACAAAATGTGCCAATCCCCTACTAAAATTTCTACCCCAAAGAGCTGAAAGGGCACAAGCTGTAAAGCACAGGAAATGCAAAACACAACACAACACAGACAGAATGACAAGTGGTTGTTATTACTGAAATGTGTTACAAAATAAGTGGATTTTCAGGAGTTTTTTTGAAGGAGGATAGTGAAGGATCTTTACGTACGTTAATTGGGAGGCTGTTCCATGTGTAGGAGGCAGCGTGGAAAAAGACACAAAGTTGGGAGTGAGCAAAAGAGACAAAAGGGGAATTAAGAGCGATGCTTGGGAAGTGCTGACAGTAACGGAAATGAGGACCAAGGTTAAGCCAGAACCAAGAGTGCTTTGAACATGGCTAACTTTATGCAAGGGAGGAAAAAGAATTCTTGGCAAAGGCTTAAGAAGCAAGGAAACATGGGCAATTATACAGAAAAGGAGAAATGGTTTGTGTAGTATGTCCCATACAAAAAAAACTAAAAGTTAGGAAAAGGGAGACCAGTTCACATCAAATAACTAGTGTAACAAATATTTCAGTCTCAAATAGAAAATAATTAACTTCACTGAGATAATGACTAATACCCAGCCAGATGTGAGGAGTGGCAAGAACATTAAACTCCAATGATTCTTTATCTAAAGCTGTTAAATCATGTGAAAAATCACCACAATGTAAAAACCACATGCCCAAAATAAATTCAAATGGAAGAGATAAGAAAAAAAGGTGTTTTAAACACACCATTCAATGTAGCAGTAAAATGTGTTTGTTGTAGTTGTTCCATAAAATGAGAAAACTCATTTGATGTACAAGTAAATTCTGTCCATAGAGGATTTTTAGCTGCTGCATTCCTATTCATCATGACTGTCACCAGTCATGAGAAAACAAGCTCTCAGTGTATGCTTAACTTCCATAGAGAAAACTTTTAAAACACAAAGCTACTAGCCCCTATGAATTATATTTTCTAAGCATGTGAAGCAAAATAAAATACTATGACTTTACTTGTTCTGAGCCAGAAGTATCTTTTTGCAATAAGTTTACTTTCCTTCTACACTACAATTTCATGTCATTTACGAGCTCTTGAGAGCCAGATACAAAGAAAATGAGCAATTTGTCACTAACCTTAGTAATAGCAACTTCTATGTTACTGAGGCTTTAAAAAGTAATACTGGAGTTCATATTACTACTTACTCTCCTTGCCAGTATTTTTAGGTTGCCAGGTTTAGACAAATCCAGGTCCAAGCAACTCATACCTTATCAATAGGTGTGGAGCTTGAATATTTGTGTCTGAGTTTAACTCATTATGTCATTCATGTCCATCTCCACAACAGATTACATCAAATTGTATCAGATTTTGCTGGAAACTTAAAAACAAATATTCAAGTCTCTACTTTTCCACACAGTGATAGTCCATCAGTTGGCCCAATGAACAGTGCTTATTTTTCTTATTTTCTATTCTCTCATACTATCATTGATTCATTATTTAGAATTAAATGACTGAATGTTGGTCACTTCTACTATATCTCAGAGGAGACAAAGCAGTCCCTCTCATTTCTTCTTTGTGTGTGTAAAACTGCAAGGAAAACAAAAATATTAAATACATGGTCTCAATTTAGGAATGCTTTCT